AGGAAGAATGTGAATTTTTAATCAATTTAAGAACAAATCATGAGATGAGATGGTTTTAGATATGAGAGCTACATTTTCAGATATCCATTTCATAAAGTTCAGCCTAGTGACAGAACTGAGAGAAAGGATAGAGCAATAAACTAAAGAAAAAGTAAGTGTAGGTAGAGAACAGGGTGGCAGATTAGAGTTGAATCATCCAGAAAGAATATGTGAGTGGTTTGGAGCTTGATGCTAATCACAGTATCAAAAAATATTTCACACTGAAGAAATGAAACTGTGTGTATGACAGACCAATGACAATGTTATCTTGACTATGGGATATGAGTAACTAGAAAATTTCACTCATTATGAATGTGTCAATTATATCATGCTATTTAATAGAATAATTATAGAGAAAACAGCAAGTAAAGAGCTCACTTTTATCAAGATGACCAAATTATAGGACTCTGATAAAAAAACATTGATTGAGTGGTGAGAATATCTAGATAAAAAGGAATAATGCTCTCCAGTTAGAATGGCTTAGTGGTAAAATTATAATTGCAATGTCACATTCATCTGATTTCTGGACATTATCCACTTATTCACACAAAACATATTTGTGGAGTGATTTACTGCAAAAGCTTGTTGCTATGAGGAATATACAAATGAACCAGGCATTGGTTAATATATGGAATGCACAAAATAAAAAATTTAACATCTCTATTTTCTTAAAATGTTGAAATAGTCTGTTAACCCATCTACAAATCATTTCCCTAAATACTCACTTTTAGACTGTATATCTTTCTTCAGAAACTTTGTTCCAAAATGTAGTGGGAGTCAAAGATACCTTAAATAGCATGTAAAAATATTCTCACAAAAATTAAAGTGGAAAAAGTGGTTAATACGATCACTTATGGAGAGCCTTTGAGAGAAGGCTGTAGCTGTAGGAAGAAGCATACATTTGGGATTGTGACAGGAGATAGATGAACTAAACAGGTAGGTGAAAGAAAGCTTCAAGAAGGTAAGAATTGATGGATGAGCATGAATGCCCTGGGATTTCAAGGAAGGTGAATTTGGAGAGAGAAAACAAAGTCACAGAAGCATGATAGTATGTGTTGCATTATGGAAATCATGAACCTTCGCTGCCTCTTGGGTTAGACCTTCATCAAGTGTTGCAGGATAAATTGAACATGAAAGCATAGAAAATGAGAAGAGATGACGGGTCCTTGGCACTGAACTAAACTCCTGAGCTTCATGTTGCTTCTCTTCATGGAGACAGGAAAAACACACACATACGTACACACACACACACACACATACACACACACCCCAAAATCCTCCTTCTTTAATGACAGTACAATGTAACTCTTTGGATTACAAACTCTTTGGATTAATTTACTGGGGTCTAAGTGTATTAGCTTCAAATTTATTTATCTATCAAATAAACATCTTTAACTGTAGGATATTTTGCACATCACCTTCAGTCTTGCACTATTAGATAATTACAGGATGGTCAGTAAGTTTTCAGAAGGTTTTTCTTTGTGTGCTCAGCATTGTGAAACACACTGAACAAAATCTAAAGGAATGTTCCAGATTTTAAGATGCCTGCAACTGTTTTATTTCCTCATAGCCATTAACACAGCTTCTCGCACATAAAAGCAACATGCTAAATAAATGTGCATTGTACTAAATTACATATATATGAGTAGGAAATAAGAACGATATTAAAAAGGGAACAATTTGATATTATAAATGCTGAAATGGATGTAGATGTGTATAGAACAGGTATAAAATTAATAATAGATTGCTTGGCCTTAGGGACTCTCCATAATGATAAACAGAAAGACTGGAGAAAAACAATTAGGCACCTGGAGGGGGAATGGCAGTAGTCACCCAGGAAAAGAGAATCATGACTCCATAGAGACCAAAGCAAACCTAGGCCACAGAGGTCCACCATGGTGGCAATGCTTCTTAGATTTTCTATTCCAGTAAAAATATTCCGTCCCCATTGATTCACTTATACTTCAATATTGATTGAAGTTAAAATTAGGTTTGGATTTCAAAACATGGCCAAGAAAGAGAGATCCTCAGAGGAACATTTCTTCTGGTGTTCTATAATGAAGGTTTTACAGAAAGGGGGGTCCAAATTGCCAGAGGCCACTTTCTTCAAGGCCAATTTTTCTTTCAGCCACTCAAGTCCTTGCTGCATCCCAACTTACTCATTCAACATAGAATTTCCTGGATATAAACCCATCTCTGTAGATGAAGAAATGGCTCACAGTCTTTTAGATACTAGTTATACTACACATAATAGCAATAGAGACACCAAAATCATTAAATCACCTCTTAGACTCATTTAAATAATAGTCACTCTATTGTTTGCCACTAATTGCTCATTTATGAAAAGATTAAATTATTATTATTGTTTTTAGAATGGGAAAAAGTTCAATTTGTCACTGAAAACAGGGTTTAATCTTAAGAGAAAAATATGCCTTTCAATTATGAGCAATTTAAAAAATTCTTAAAAATCACTTTATACTTATGCCATTCTGACCCATATATTTTTCTAAGCATAAATATTTTAGGAATAATCATGTAATTTAAAAGAATAGATCATTTTATAAATATGAATTTATAAAAGAATAAATCATCAGTTTGTTTTTGTAAATCAAATTCTGTAAAATTCCTGAGAATTTTCCTTTGAAAACCAAGGCATTTGGACAAAGTATATTAATATTTAGTATAAATAGTTAATATATAAACTGAAATAACTAGAAATTATTTAACAGTCACTTTCTTCTTCTTTTTATCAACTGAGAAAGTAGGAAAGTCAATTCTATAGGCCTGACTACACTGCTTTATCTACATTAGTAGTGTCTGTAGGTTACATAATTTTATGGATACTAAATTATACATTAACTATTCATGTTGATAAACTTAAATATTAAAAAATTTAACTACCTCTAATAATAATCATATTCTTACAATTTATTAAACACTATTTGTAGTGTTTATGGTCTATGAAACACTATAGTAATATATTTCTATATAATATTATCCCATGTTACTTAATTCACTTTATATGTAAAGTAACAAATGCTTAGGGAAATTGAGCATATATTTGTAAATCTTAGAGCTTCAACTTGAGCTGAGTCCTACCTGACTCCAAAACATGCATTTTTGCTATCCTGCTTTTAAGAAAGATCCAAATATCCCTTTCCAATAAGAGAAATCTATAAATTGGCTTCTTGTGCAGGTCCTTATATTCCTCTGATGAATTAAAAATCAACCAGACCAAAGCACTAATCTGACTAGAAGATAAACCAGTAGCTTCTCTGACTAACAGAACCTGTTAACTCTTATTTGCCTCCGCACAATGTGTAACACTGACCTAAAGCTGTAGATGCACAAATGAAAATAATTGTCTACACACCATCTGCGTAAATGAATCACGCTTTAAGGACAGTCAGTTCTTTTATCTTCCATTTTGATGGTTAGTACATACTGAGGGATGCCCAATAGTGTCCTTTTTTCTGAGAAACTATATTTTACATTGATTCAAAAGAACGATCCCTTTTTGTAAAAGGGAGACATGACTGAGAAAGAAGTTGAATTTGATTTTTTTTCTCTTCTGTTTCAATTTAGCACTTTAAATATTTTCCTCAATAAATCATACATGTGGTCCAAATATTTTCCTCAATAAATCATACATGTGTTTCAAATGGGAGTGTAAGAAAACTTGGTACAGAGAAGAAACAAAAGAAGAAATTAAGAAAGAGCAAATAAGAACTTCCTTACAAAGTCACCAAGAACATTCAAAACTTTTTGGTTATTACAGATAAAGGAGAAAGCTCTGGACATAAGAAACTATATGAAGTCTAGTCATTAGCATTGGGAGTGAACACTGGAGTGAGAAAGAATATTAACTATTATGTTATTTCTGCATGAAGTGGCTTGTTACTAAAAGGGAAAAACTGCTTCTATATATTAAGATGTCTAAATAAAATCTAAATAAAATCCATGCAATCTATACAAAAAAGAATGAATTAATATCCCAATAATTATGCGAATCATATCTGTTTGGCATTGTACAAGTGACTTTATACATTGTATTTCATTTAATCTACAAAGCAGTCTTGAAACATAGGTTGTATTATAATGCTTATTTTATATTTAGAGAAACTGAGCCTTCAAGAGGTTAAGTAAATTGTCCAAGACATGCAGGTAATAAATGGCAAAACTTTTTTCCTGAGTTTTGAAAAAAATCTGAACTCAGGAAATCTGATTCCAGACTGAATACTTACGCTCTACACTCAGTAATCACAAGTAATGTTATTGTCATATTTGCTGTTCCTCCTAAGCTGCTAGAAATAATTCTAGCTAATGTTAAGCACTGTCATTTCAATATGCTACCTGGGTGTTCTTAATCGGGAAAATAAGTAATAACTCTCGGTAATACAATGCTAAATCAATATCAAGGTAGTTACCCATTAGATGTTAGGGGCCCTATGCCTAATACTACACGGCCACAATATAGTCTCATAGAAAGTATGAATGAATTCAATGTCAAAGTCAATTCCAAGGCTGAAATCTCGAGAGTCAGGTTTTCTGAGCATGGGAGCTACTTCCTACTGGCCATGAATACAGAAGGGAAAACTGATAGGAATGATACAAACATAACCAATTGTATTAGCAATGGAAATACAAGTTTTCTCAATGTTTCATAAACAACTGATGAAGAGCATAAGGCTTGAGTAAATTGTAAGCAGATATCCCAGAATCACACCATCTGGTGTCACTGTTCCTGTAGTAACATCGAATTCTATTTAGGATGTAAGAAGTACAAAAAATTACACATCCCTACACATAATTTAGTGATGGGCTCCTTGAGGAACTCACACAACTGCCCTGGTTAACACACAGGACTTCTGTTTATTTAATCAGAATGCTGTCATGTGAGGAATGAGAAAAATTATAAAATCTTTAGATTCCTTTATTTCAAAAACAAATAAAATACTTACATTATTAACAGAAGAGCATACTGGTTTCGGTCCATAAAATCTTTGGGAAAGGACAACTGTAAAGGAAGTTCTTTTAAAGAAAGAGCAAAATATTAAAGATGGGAGTCATTTACATGTAAAACTATAAGATATAGAGAAAGTTGTTTTTGAATAACAGCATGCACAAAACTTTACCATAGTCGTCAATATGAAGGATTTTGATTTCTGATTTTACTATCTTCTTCTTCAGGATAGCTTCCTTCAGCATGGAATTGCTTTCTAATATAAAATATTCTGTAAACCAAAAATACTAGTGTAAATAGCTAACTTCTATGCATTAATCAGCAATCAGTACAACAAAACATTATCCAGTTGATACCATTTGGCAGGCACTGTGCCAAGTACTAATTAAACTTTCATTATTTCTCTCCTAAATTACTACAACAGTTTTTTAACTGAACTTTCTTACTCCAGTGAAATTTTATCTATTTGCTTCTATATTTTGGAATTAGCATTTACATTTTCAAAATAAAAATCTGATCATGTTGCTACCCTCTTAAAAATATTTAAAGAAATGCAAAATTATCGAGCACCAAATGAGATGCAATTTACAATGTCTAGATATCAATAAAAAATTAAAAGGCATACAAAAACTCAAGATGGAAAAATTTATTCAATAGAAATAACCCAGAAATGACACAGATGACATAATTCACAGATAAGGACATTAAAACAGAGATTATAACTATAGTCTAGATGTTGAATAAGGAAGATAAAGCATAATCATGTTTTATATGTCTAAAAATAAAAACTGCAGAATCTGAGATACATGAAAATTACATGTTTAAGGTGAAAAATATACTGGGTGAGATTGAAATAATATTAGATACTGCAGGAAAAAAAGAGTAATGAATTTTAAAATATACTGACAGAAAATATAGAAAATAAAACAACAAAAAATTGCAAGAACATGAAGAGAGCATCAATAAATTGCTGAACTTTTTACTGATATTGTATTAATTCTATAGATCTATTTGGGGAGATTTTACATACATAAAATGGTGGCCCTTCTAATCCATAATTTATATATGTGTGTCTATATTCATTGAAGTCTCTAATCCAGCAATTTTATATAGATTTCATTTTAGGGATCTTATATATTTTTATTATCAATAGATGTATTCCTAGATATTCTATGGTTTTTTATTTTATTTTTTTCCTTTTTGAGGCAAGTACTCACCCTGTTGCACAGATTGCAGTGCAGTGGCACAATCATAGCTCACTGCAACCTAAAACTACTGGGCTCAAGTGGTCCCCTAGCCACAGCCTCCTAAGTAGCTGAGACTATAGGTACACCAACATGCCCAGCTAATTTTTTATTTTTTTGTAGACATGGTATCTTTCTATGTTGCCCAAGCTGGTCTCAAACTCTTGGGCTCAAATGATTCTTCCAAAATACCAGGTTTACAGGTGTGAGCCACAGCACAGCACTTGGCCAGAAAAATTGAAACAATGAAGAAAAGTCTAACCGAACTCCTGGAAATTAAGAATCAATTCAGGGAACTACAAAAAACAGCAGAAAGCCTCAAGAACAAACAGAAGAAAGAATCTCAGAGATTGAAGATAACATCTTTCAATTAAATAAATCAGTCACAGAGATAGAGCAGACAAATAAAAGAGCAAAGCCTACAAGAGATGTGGGAGTATGTGAAGAAAACCAATGTGAGGGTAATAGGGTTACGAATAGAGGAAGAAGAAAACACTCAAGGATTGGACAAGCTACTTGAAGATATAATAGAAGAAAATTTCCCAGGCCTTGCTAAAAATCTCCAGATACAAGTTCAAGAAGCTCAAAGGATCCCTGGGAGATTCAATGCAAACAAGAAGACGTCAAGCCATGCAGTCCATCAGACTAACCAAAATATCAATAAAGAGGCCCTTCTATGAGATATAAGATGAAAGAAGCAAGTAACATACAGAGGAAAGCCAATCCAAATAACACCAGACTTCTCTACTGTAACTTTACAAGCAAGGAGAGACTGGGGCCCCATTCTCACTCTTCTGAAACAGAATAATGCCCAGCCTAGAATCTTATTTCCTGCAAAGCTAAGTTTTATACATGAAGAAAAAATTAAAACATTCTCAGATAAGCAAAGACTGAGGGAATTCACCAAGACAAGACCAGCCCTTCAAGAAGTACTCAAAACAGTGTTACCCATGGATCAGCACAATAAGCACTCACGAATGTAAATCTACTCAAAGCTAAAGATCAAAGACCAGATACCACAATAGCTCAAGAGAGAAAACAAAGCAAAAAAGTTCAACCCAACAAAATGAACAGAAATCTGCCCCACCTATCAGTTATTTCAATAAATGTGAATGGCTTGAACTCCTCACTCAAGAGACATAGGCTGGCTGAATGGATAAAAAAACACAAGCCAAGTATCTGCTGCCTTCAGGAAACACATCTAACCTGCAAGGATGCAGTTAGATTAAAGGTAAAGGGGTGGAGAACAATATTTCAAGCAAATGGAAGCCCCAAAAAAGCTGGCATGGTGCTGCTGATTACAGATAACTTAGCTATTAAATAAACAAAAGTAATAAAGGACAATGAAGATCACTATATAATGGTGAAGGGTACAGTTCAACAAGAAGACATAACAATTCTAAATATATATGTGCACCCAACGTTGGTGCACCCAGATTCATAAAGCAAACTCTACTTGATCTAAACAAATGGATAAATAACAACACCATAATAGTCGGAGACGTTAAACCCCACTGACAGCACAGGAAAGATCCTCTAAACAGAAAATCAACAAAGAAATAATGGACGTAAATAGAACTCTAGAACAAATGGGCCTAACTGACATTTACAGGACATTCTACCACAAAAATCACTGAATATACATTCTTCTCATCAGCTCATGGGTAATTCTCTAAGATTGACCATATCCTAGGACAGAAGCATGTCTCAAACAATTTAAAAAATAGAAATTATACCATGTATCTTTTCAGACCACAATGGAATAAATGTAAAAATCAATTCTCGCAGGAGTTCTCATTTCTACAAAAGGCATGGAAACTAAACAACCTTCTGCTGAATGATCACTTCATAAATGAGGAAATCAAGATGGAAATAAAAAGATTCTTTGAACTAAATGACAAAGGAGACAAGTTACCAAAACCTGTGGGACACAGCTAAAGCAGTCCTGAGAGGAAAGTTTATTTCCATAAATGTCTATATCCAAAAGTTGAAAAGATCACAAATAGACAACCTAATTAATCTTCTCAAAGAGCTGGAAAAAGAAGAACAGACCAACCCCAAACCCAGCAGAAGAAGTGAAATCATTAAGATAAAATCAGAACTAAATGCAATTGACAACAGGGAAACTATATGGAAGATTAATAAAACAAAAAGTTGGTTCTTTGAAAAAGTAAACAAAATTGACACACCATTGGCTAGACTAACAAAAAGCAGAAAAGAAAAATCTCTAATAAGCTCCATCAGGAACAATAAAGGAGAAATTACAACTGATGCCACGGAGATACAAGATGTAATTTATGAATATTACAAAAACCTCTATGCACACAAAATGGAGCATGTGGAGGAAATGGACAATTTCTTAGAAACACACAGTCTCCCTAGGCTCAATCGGGAAGAAATAGAATTCCTGAACAGACCAATATCAAGTACTGAAATTGAAACAGCAATAAAAAAACCTTCCTAAAAAGGAAAGAACTGGACCAGATGGTTTCACACCCAAATTTTACCACACCTACAAGAAAGAACTGGTGCCTATCCTGCAGAAATTATTCCACAACATCGAGAAGGATGGAATGCTCCCCAACACATTTTATGAAGTGAACATAACCCTGAAACCAAAATCAGGAAAGGATGCAATAAAAAAAGAAAACTACAGACCAATATCCCTTATGAATACTGATGCAAAAATTCTCAACAAAATCCTAGTCAATTGAATCCAGGTGCTTGCCAAGAAAAAAATGCATCACAATAAAGTGGGCTTCATCTCAGGGATGCAGGGATGGTTCAACATACACAAATCTATAAATGTAATTCACCATATGAACAGAAGCAAAAACAAAAACCATATGATCCTCTCAATAGATGCAGAAAAAGCATTTGACAAAATTCAACACCCTTTTATAAGAACGCTCAACAAAATAGGCATAGACAGGGCTTACCTAAAAATGATACAAGCCATATATGACACACCCACAGCCAATATCATACTGAATGAGGAAAAATTGAAAGCATTCCTGCTTAGAACTGGAACAAGACAAGGTTGCCCACTATCTCCACTTCTGCTCAACATAGTGCTAGAAGTCCTTGCTATAGCAATCAGACAAGAGAACGGAGTTAAGGGCATCCAAATGAGAGCAGCAGAGATCAAACTCTCACTCTTTGCTGATGACATTATATTATACCTAGAAAACCCCAAGGACTCAACCATGAGACTCCTTGAACTGATAACTGAATTTGATAAAGTCTCAGGATACAAAATCAATACATAGAAATCAGAGGCATTCATACACACCAACAATAGTACAAGTGATAACCAAATCAAAGACTTAATTCCCCTCAAAATAGCAACAAAGAAAATAAAATACCTAGGAATATATTTAACTAAGGAGGTAAAAGACCTCTACAGGGAGAACTATGAAACACCGAAGAAAGAAATAACAGAGGATGTGAACACGTGGAAGAATATACCATGCTCATGGGTCGGCAGAATCAACATTGTTAAAATGTCTATACTACCCAAAGTGACCTACAGAGTCAATGCAAACCCTATTAAAATACCATCATCATTTTTCACAGATATAGAAAAAATAGTTTTACACTTCATATGGAACCACAGAAGACCCCGTATAGCAAAATCAATCCTAGGCAATAAAAACAAAATAGCAGGTATCAATTTATCACATTTCAAACTACACTATAAGGCTGATAGTAAGTAAAACAGCTTGTGACTTGCACAAGAACTGGGACATTGACCAGAGGAACAGAACAGAGAACCCAGATATAAAAACCATCCTCATATAGCCAACTAATCTTCGACAAAGCAGACAAAAACATACACTGGGGAAAAGAATTCTTATTCAATAAATGGTGCTGGGAAAACTGGATAGCCACAATGTAGAAGACTGAAACAGGATCCACACTTTTCACCTCTCACAAAAATCAACTCACGCTGGATAACAAAATTGAACCTTAGGTGTGAAACTATGAGAATTATAGAGGAAAACATTGGAAATACTCTTCTAGACAT